ATAATTCTAATACATAATAACTAACATAAATTTATTCAATCATATATATGATATTCAGGAATATATGAAATTAGTTCTGCATATTTTTTGAACAATATACCTTTGTTTCTTGCTTATTCATTCTATCTAAAATACCTTTGAAAGGAATGAGGTTAATTCCTTGTAATATCTGAGTTATACAATGAGGTATGTAAGGCTATTCGATTCCATTTTCTTTGGCATGAATTCTGATACTTGCGATTAATATCAAGAAGTGAATTTCCTAAGTTTTATTCCTAGTAAAGGAAACATAGTGGCAGTGTATGATCTCCAAATAACTAACAATAATTTCCCCCTCTCCTTAGTGTGTAGAATTACTTCATTAAATGTTCACTATCCTACAGTTGTATAATTGTCCTTCTATGAGCTAATATAGAAATTGTATTCGCAACAACAAGCTTGGTAAATTATCCTCTTAGTTAATTGAAGTCAATTGTGCCATTTAAGCTCACAAGTAATGCATTGATGTTACATAGCTCCTTATGTCATTGTTACTTCCTAGAAGTATTATTTTCATGTCTTCTACTACTTGTCCGTAGTTTCAAATATAAAAAATGATTATGACCACCAAAACAACAATCTCAAAGATTAAAGAATCTAAGTGAAGCAATATGTATAACTATGGATGGCTGCCCAGGGGAAAATGCCTAGCATGGGTCGATCCCAATTGGTATAGAAGGGTGGCAGCTCAGGGGTGAAAGCCTAGCATGAGCCGATCCTAATTGGTATAGAAGGGTGGCAGCTCAGGGGCGAAAGCCTAGCATGGGCCGATCCCAATTTGTGTAATTATGAGGACAACATCACAAGGGTTAAAATGTCTAGCATGGGTCATCCTCTTCTACCACTGATCAGTTGGTCATTCGTATCACATGCCTTATAAGGATCATAACTCACAGAAAAGTAAAGAAATGAATGCAACATACATGATCCCACAAGAGTAACAAAGGTGGTCGTATTCTGATCTATGCACTTACATATGGATATTTGATGTCATTTGAGCCTTGTTTTACATATGTTATTTCCTTACATATTCAGTACATTTTCCGTACTGACGTCCCTTACGGGGACGCTGCATTTCATGCTGCAAGCACAAGTATTCAGCTGCTATTGGTGAAGCTCCAGGTTGATTCAGGGCTTACCGAGTCTTTGGCTCCTATTTTGTTGTTGTATGATAGTTAAGGGTAAGGCGGGACCTTGTCCTGCCCTAAACTAAAGTTTTCTATCTTTTAGAGGCTTTGTAGACTAATGTATATAGTTCAGTTGTGTCTTGTCTCATAACAAGTTGTGGCCTCAACGGCCAAGTCTTGTATATAAGTTTTGGATCTACTTATGTTCGCACCGCTGCATCCTATGTGAACTTGTCACATCTTTAAGATTGTCATAGTTATATGCATAGTAAGCACATGTTACATGTTGGTTCTCTCGGACCTTTAGGGCATCGGTGCTTGTTTGTCTTAATGGGGTTTGAGGCGTGACATTATCAATATTGTATAAATAGTTATGTAATGTATCGATATTGTATAAATGATGTATAAATATGTATCAATATTATATAAATTGTATATATACGTATATCGATATTGTATAAACATGTATGTAATGTATCAACATTGTATAAATAGTACATAATTGGGTATCGATATTACATAAATAATTTTATAACATATTGATTTCGATATTTATTTGACTATCATGTATTTTCACCTTAATAATTAAAATAATAACAATAATAATAATAATAAAACTACATAAATATTCATTTTTTCCACTAAAGAAGTGAAAAAATTAGAAAAAGAAAAAAATTAAAATGAGCAACAAAATAAATATGAACAACAATTTAATTTTTTTTAAATAGCACAAAAAAAAATCCTTTAAAAATATGAGATAGAAAATGACCAAATGGCCAAACTAACACTGCCGGTATTTTACCAAATAGCCGAGCCGGAATATTTGGTACAAACAAATTTGACTATTTTTAGTATAAAAAACAAAGGTGGACATTTTGCCTAATTTCCCCTATTACTATTCATTGATTTCCTCAACTATTCTTTTGAAGTTAAAAATTTCTAGTATTTCAATGGCGAAGGCTGCAGGCAGTGGGAGCAGTTCCAGATGGTCTCTTTCAGGATTTACCGCTCTCGTTACGGGTGGCACACGTGGAATTGGGTAATCCCAACTCCAATACCTTAATTTCTTTTCAAATAATTTCTAGTACATGTTTCTGGGTTTCAATTTGGATGAGTATTCTTTTTAGGCATGCGGTTGTGGAGGAATTAGCGGAACTGGGTGCTACAGTCTACACTTGTTCACGGAATGAAGCACAGCTCAACGAACGCTTGCAAGAGTGGGCTGTTAAAGGCCTTCAAGTCAAGGGTTCTGTTTGCGATGCATCTTCTAGGGAACAGAGAGTTCAACTCATGGAAAACGTCTCAGCGGCTTTCGACGGAAAGCTCAACATTCTTGTCAGTTCTCTCATTAATCCCTTTTTGATGAATTGTTTCACTAATGGTCTCTATATGCAAAATAATCAATTACATAGTATTGTAGTGTTGTGCGGGCTGTGGTAGTGAGATTTGATTTGAGGACTTCCCAATTGATACCATATTGGGGTGTGTTGAGAATTTTATCTAAAAGCTCAAACTATTAAAAACATCACATTTTTATTATTTAATTGTAATCTCGACATATGTTAGAGCTTAGTATTTGCGGAGCTCGTTTGTTCCAGCTATGATTAATATCTGATTTAATGGTGAAAGAACAGGAAATATTGATAGAAAGAGCTTATGTAGCATTACGATTCTTTTGATTCTTAGGTTATTTCTCAGGCTTTACATGTGATTGTTAAGGTTCTAATTTAGAATGGTGGTGCTACATGTGCTTTCACCGGATTTTTATAACTAGTTATTGGTGCCAGAAAAAGTCCTAAAAGAAATTGTTGCATTCTCAATCTGAATCCGGTGCTCTTGGACGTGTATGCTTTCTGTTTTTAGATGTCCTCATTTTCAAACAGTGTAAAGTTTTTGAACCACGTTATTGCTTTGTCTCTGGCCATAGATAAACAATGTGGGGACTAACGTTAGGAAGCCCACCACCGATTACACTGCTGAAGAATATGCCCGTCTGTTTTCTACCAACTTGGAATCTGCATACCATCTGTGTCAACTTGCTCACCCTCTTTTGAAAGCATCTGGAAATGGATCAGTTGTCTTTATCTCTTCTGTTGGTGGTCAGGTGCACCTGTCCACTGGTTCTATTTATGGAGCAACGAAAGGTTAGTTGTACTCATCCAATCACTAATTGAAGATAGAGTGCTGAGACTTTTCTTCTTTTTTTTACTAACTTCAGGGGCAATAAATCAGCTCACGCGAAATTTGGCTTGTGAATGGGCAAAAGATAACATTCGGGTTAATGGTGTTGCCCCATGGTATATAAAGACGTCTTTGGTAGAACATGTAATATTCTTGACCTTGCTTATGAATTTAATTTCATGAATCTCTATGCCCAAGTAATTGCAGATTGGAGATATAGATATTGAAAGCTTACGTGAGGCAAAACATTTCTTTGATTTCGCTGAGGTCCGAGCAGAGAATGTAGTTCAGACTGCATCATATTCTCACAAAATGGTCTTTTAAGAGATCTTAATGCTGACAATAAAGAAACTAAATATACAGCATGCCACACATTGAGCACATAGTGAACTATTCCTTTGCCTTTTACTAAGACTATGCATACCTGTTACACAAAGTGGCATAGGCCAAATTGAAGAACAGCTGTTGGACAAGTACATGGCTTAGCCATCATCTAACGTACAGACTCCAAAATTAGATGTATTGTAAAATAGGTCTTGTATTTTTTATCATTACTTTTGGATCACAAATGGTAATAACTTTCTATCATGAACTTTATGATAACTAACTAATTTCATTATGTACATCGGCTGTAGGATTTTTTTCTTCTTAGGTGTAACTATCCATTTTCTGGACCCACTGCCCAGTTAATTTGGATTTGTGCCACGTAAGCCCATCAAAAGGGGGAAGAGCTTCCTACCAGGGATTTCTCCTTTCTCAGGGCTAGAATCTAAGACCTCTGGTTAAGGGTACTTGTGTTCTGTTGCATTCATTTAAGCAATGTAGTGGATGTTTAGTAAATATCAAGTGACAAATTGCTAAAGCACTTGGATTCATGTATCTATAAAAGTGTCATGATTTCTAGTGTTCATTTGGAAAAGGAATTGCACATGGTGAAACAGTTATTATGCTTTTCCATGCCTTAGATCTATTCTTCAACAATTTTCATGTGTACTCATACTTTTTCCTTTCTGCAAATAAAGTTTATATAATTTCTTGTTCTTATATTGTCAAAGCATATTTGACTCTAGCTGAATATTTTTAGTTGTGGCAAGTAACTTTGGAAATGGTTAGCTCTGATTAATATCTTTTTTGCTTTCCCGAAAAGAAAATAAAATCCCCTGAATGTGACAGGAAAAGTTTGTTATTTCCTGAGTTCTGTATAGAGAATTATGTTAGGATTGCTATGTTTTTTGAAGACTAGGTATTTTTTTTGTTTATATGTATTGACAAAGTATGTTGATGACTCATATCACAAATGGGGTTAATTCTATTTCTTGTGGAGAATGTTTCCGGATTTTATATGTGAAGCAATGAGAGTACTAGCCCTTGATGTATTCTATATTTATATAATCTTTTCACTTAACACATGTTCTCCAAATTTTGCTGAATTTTATGGTTTTCTTTTGCAGTTGCTTGAAAATAAAACATTTTTGGATGGAGTAATATCTAGAACTCCCCTTAGACGTCCTGGAGAATCTCAAGAAGTTTCATCCCTGGTAGCTTATCTATGTTTACCTGGGGCATCTTACATTACCGGGCAAGTTATAGCGGTTGATGGTGGATTCACAGTCAATGGGTTTGAAACGCCAAGTTTCTGATCTTATGTAGAGATGGTCCTTGTATCTTTTTTATGTGCACACTCATCTTTGTTTCTTAGTGATCAAGTTGAGACTGTCATGAATAAAGCTCTATTTAATATCTTCCTTAATCCCTGTTTATCGGATCATGAGATGACATGCCTTATTTACTGAATGTTTAATTTAGTTTTCTATCTTTTTATTTGTTCTGAGAACAGCATTTTCTGTAGTTGATTATGTTGGGCATCATATTAAGTTTTTTTTTTTTTTTCATCTTTGCACGTTCCTTGCGAAGAGCAATTTTGTATTTTATTTGAACTGTTGGGCGGGAAACATTTGATTATTTGCACATGTTTATAAAGACCTCCCAACTCATTCATAGTGTTTTTTTCTCATCCGCTTAGTTTAGGTGGCTAATGTTATCGGTAGTATTTATTTGGTGGAATAGTTAAGATGTGTACAAGCTGATTTAGGTACCCGCCCTAAATAAAAAAGAAGATACATGTGGTTAATTTTGACTTCATATTTAATGACCAGCACAGTTAGCAGCATTTGTCAGAACTGCATTGCTTCTCACACTTCTCTATATCCTCTCTCTATTCAGTAAACTTGAAATATGGTGGAAACCCTATGATCCTATGGCATTTGTAAACTGAGTCCCCTGATTTTTTTGCAATTCAGATATTCTTCTTTCCTTTAAATTCAGTATCAAGAAAATTTTGACTTGATATGTACTGATATGAAGCCAAGAAAATATTTATGATTTACACTTGGTAGAGGGCTAATCATAAGGTTATTTTTTTTAAGGGAAAAGGGTAAAAATTGCCCTTAAACTATTTGAAAGGAACAAAAATGTCCTTCGTTTATAGTTTGGCAAAAAAATGCCCTTACCGTCAATACATTGGTTCAAAAATGCCCTTAAACTATGCGAAAGGAACAAAAATGTCATCCGCTTGTAGTTTGGTCCAAAAATGCCCTCCGTTTTCCCTTTTCATTTTAACACATTCTTTTTCTAATAATGTTTTTTTAAATTAGCAAATGTTTATCTTACTTCAATTCAAAAGAAATGAAAATATTTCTTATTTTATTATCATTATTTTTTATCGTTATATAAATATAAATGGCATAATACATATATTGGACCTTAAACTTGGCTTCAAATTTTAACTTTGACCTCCAACTTTCAAAGTGCACAAATAGACACTTTAACTATCCAACCTTTTAATAAATAAACACGCGTGTCTTACCTGGCAAAACGTGTGATGTGCACGCATTTTGCGCGAGTGAGAAGTAATTTTTGAGGCACACAACAGTGAAAAAAATGCTGAAATGACAACTTTACCCTTAATTAATTTTTTTTTTTTTTAGTTCTAAAATGGACGTGTAAAGTGTTTAATTAGTTGGCAGCCATTGAGTGGCTCGCTAATACACGTGGCAGCGTTTGCATTTCACGCTCTTGGCTCCAAAAATCGCGTGTTTATTTATTAAAAGATTGGATAGTTAAAGTGCTTGTTTGTGCACTATGAAAGTTGGAGGTCAAAGTTAAAATTTGATGCCAAGTTTAAGGTCAAATATATGTATTATCCCAATATAAATTAATGATGGATATACTACGATCTTATATATATCACATATATTATTTGTCGAAAGGGTACATGAAGTTATTCTATTTTAATTGATAAAATGAGATTAAGAAGAAAATAAATATTTCCTACATTTTTATTTGTTAAAAGTGATTTTTAGAAGAAAGAAAACAAGAATAGTGTTATTTTATAATATTTTAATTAGGAAGAAGATGTGTTTAAAAAGAAAAAAAATATATATATTTATTCGGAAAAGGGCATTTTGGACCCATTTTGTAACTATAGGGGCATTTTTAGACCAAAATATTAACTGCAAGGGCAATTTTGAACCAAAATATTGACGATAAGGACATTTTTTAGCCAAACTATAAATAAAGGACATTTTTATTCCTTTCACATAGTTTAAGGGCATTTTTTACCCTTTTCCTTTTTTTTAAAACAGAAACACAAGTATCATTCAACCCCATAAGATACTGAACCAACCTATTCACATATTTCACTATTTTAACCTTACCTCCACAAATAGAGTTGCAAGAACCGTTGATTTTAGAGTTAATGATCGAAAACATATATAAAATATCACATTTTACAAAAAGGGCTATTAGACACAACCTCCACACCCCCTTCCTCGAAAGAGGGATTCATTAACGAATGATATTTCAGGTGAATTTGAGGGATGAAGAAAATAAGGATTGCTACCAGATATTGAGGAAATAATTTATAGTTGGTCCCATAATTATTTATTTACAAAAAGTCACTTAACCATTTTTTCTAAAACAAAAATTACCAATCTTTGAGTATATTAACATGAAAAGCACTCACCAACATGAGTTATGGTGGGATTGTTTCACCTTTAATCAAAGGTTTCGAATTTGAGCCCCGAGTATGGAAAATTTTTGTTGGAAGTGTCACTCCTAATTGAGCCTTGCAACGTGTGATCCGAATTTAAAGAAAAACGAAAATCACTATTTGAAATCCTAACTTTCTGATGCATTTTGCCTTTTTCTATAAATCTAATAAATAAAATTCAATTAGAAAAGATCCAATCCGAGCCCTCAAAACCCAAAATTCATGTAAAGAAATTGAGAAAATGATATAAATAGTCTATTAACTATAGGAGTAGGTCTAAAATGGTTTTTTTAACTATACACTTAACGAATTTAGTCCTTTAACTATTCAAAAACTTGTCAGGATTGGTCCCTTAACTATACACTTATCGATTTTAGTCCCTTAACTATAAAGTTACTGATTTTAGTCCTTTAAGTATTCAAAATCTTGTCAGGTTTGGTCTTTGTCCATTTTTTAATACAAATAGCTTAGGTTTATATTAACGGAAATCTTCGTAAAATTAAATCTTTACCCCATTTTTAAAGTTGTTTCTCTATCCCCGCCCTTTTTTTCTTCTAACTACTCTTATGAAAAGAACAATAACGTCAATGATTCAAAAATAAAATTAATGAGGAAAAAAGATATAAGTCCTAATTTTATTTAATGGAGGATAAAATTAAGCATATAATTGTTGTTAATGACTTGGATCCGCACTTGAATATGCTAATCAGTGCAGATTTTATTTAATTTAATCAAAAAAAATTACGTAAAATAAAATGAATAGAATAATAAAATTGATCTATTTAAAAAAAATTAAGAAAATTGCAAATCTACCATTTTATAAATTTCAATTTTTGAAAAATTAAACAAATTTTGTTCAATGAAGTCGTTCAAGTACAAACTTTGGATTTAACGAGTAATATTTTTTTCTTTTTATAATAAAGTTTAGCATATTAAAGTCATTAGTAGCAATAATATGCTTCATTTTATCCTCTTTTGAATAAAAATATGACTTATATTTTCTTTCATCGTGAATTTTATTTTAAATCGTTGAGGTTAAGGTTCTTCGCATAAGGTTATTTTGAAGATAAAGTAGCGGAGAGAGAGAAACAACAGAAAAAGTTGCTAAATGATTTAATTTCTCGAGGCATGAATTCCATGGATATAAACCGAAGTTATTTGTATTTAAAATGGACAAAGACCAAACCTGATAAGTTTTTGAATACTTAAAGGACTAAAATCGGTAACTTTATAGTTAAGGGACTAAAACCAGTAAGTGTATTGTTAAGGGACCAAAGCTGATAAGTTTTTGAATAGTTAAATGACTAAATCCGTTAAGTATATAGTTAAGGGACTATTTTAGACCTACTCCTATAGTTAAGGAATTATTTATGTCATTTTCTCTAAAGAAATTAAATGTCCCTTTTACTGACACTACACAGAGGCGGTCCAGGCGGAGCCAAAGTAATAATTAGTGGTTTCATAGAATTTAGTAGCTTTAATTCAATTTTTTTTATTTGCATCAAAAGAAGTTAGGGCATCTCTAAACCTACGCTCTATTTTACTCTTCAAATATAGAGTTCTCTATAACCAATTTCAATACAATTCTCTATTTTACTCTCTAAAAAAAATCTTCTTTTCTCTCCTCAATATTATATTATTATTTATATTTCTATTTCATTTTCTTATTTCATAATATAAGCATGTTCTTTCTTTTTTCAAAATAATCACCTTATATAATTTTCATATAATATAAAAAACAATTAAAAAATTCTTTATTTAGTATAAAATTATATTTTATTCTAAATTTTAAAGAACAACTACGGAAAAAAAAGAAGCGAAAAAGAATTTTTTTCCCTCTGTTCTCTCTCCTAGGGTTACAGCTTAGGAATGGTATGAGGGAGGAAGAATAAGGTAACTTTGCAGGAGCAAGATCTACAAACTAAGGGTAGTATTGTGAAGGAAACACCAAAGGAGATGGCAAGGAAGCAACCAATGGAACAGTGGCCACCACTTCCTACAAAGGTGGTTACCCCAAGTTTCAATGAAACAGTGACAGGTTCAACAAATGTTGAAAGGATGCAGGATGGAGCAAGTTTGAGCAAACAGCCAGGAACCAGTGAAGGGGAGTCATCTACTAAAGTTCAAGATGGATCGAGTGCCAAAGGGGAAGAACCTTCTACTAGAGTTCAGAGAAAACTAGACCTGGTGGAGGAACCAAATAAGAAATGGTCCACACTGTTTGATAACAACAGATTGTCGGCACGAGGAATGAATCTTAGCTATGTTGCACCAGTAGAGAAGAATGGAGAAAAGATTATTGAACTAAACAAGGAAGAAATTCAGAAAGCAACAGAGGAATGGAAGAAAGCATTAATATTGTATGTGGTGGGAGAACCACCGACTATCGCTGCAGTGGAAAGATACATTGCTACCCAGATAAACACAGTCAGTAAGCCCAAGGTGTACTACCATAACGACGGTTATTTCCTGGTACAGTTTAATAGCATGGATGATAGAAATGAGCTCTTATATTCAGGTCCTCATATGATGCATACTAAACCAATCATTGTTAATCCATGGCCTGCGGATTTTGATTTTAATAAGGAAATACTACAGATTATGCCTGTTTGGATAAAATATCCAAACCTACCTCTAAATTGCTGGAGTGGGGATTCGCTTAGCAAGATAAGCAGTGGTTTGGGGATTTCACTATATACAGATGAATGCACCACAAAAATTGATAGAATCTCTTATGCACGAGTACTCATTGAAATGGATGTGGCTAGGGAGTTTCCTAAGAATATTAAGGTGGAGGATCCGAATGGAAGAACCTTTGA